TCAGCTGGTAACCAGGCACATCCCAGCGTGTGGCCCTTCGTGTCCAAAAGCATTTCACGCTTCAGAGCAAGGTGCCGGGGCGGTGGGTGCAGCTGGAAGGGAAGCGCAGGGAGCTGCTCTCTTCCAGCTGCGATCTGACAAATCCCGTTTCTCTGCTGCCTGCCCAAGTGCTTTTAACTCCAAGGGTGATGTCCAGGCTGCGGGAAGAGCTTGCAGGGGCTAAAAGGGAGTAGTGCTTGGTGTCCCCAGCCCAGCGCCTGTCCCCAGCCCGGGCCTTCAGCTCACTCATCCAGCACACCCCAGCGGCTTCGCAGAGCCACTTCCCTGTGACACGGGGTGGGGGCCGGGGCCCCAGCAGGGCTGGGCGAGCCCTGGGATGGGGGCACCCTGGCCCAGCCCTGCTCCGGGCTCCCTCCACTCCCTGCAGCCCCTGTGCTGAGCTAGCAAAAGCAGAAGGCTTAAACCCAGACTCCGAACTAAAGATAATTATATTAGTAAATGAACCTGTATTTTTCTTTATTTTTTTTTTTTTTTTTGCACAGAAGCTGGTAATCTAGGACCTACGTGTGAACAACTTTATATAAATATTTTTTGTACTTGGTTTACTTGGGTTGGTATGAGACGTTCTATTTAAGTTCTTTGAACACTGTGGATACCCTGATGTGTGTGAGTGGCAGAGGCTTTGTAAATCGAGACGTTTGTGTGAATAAAGCTCTTGGATGGGGTTGAAAAGCCACACACGACTTGAACCACGAGGTTTGTGCATTTGTCCTCAGCCATGCTGCCGGCGGTGGGTTTGTAAGAAGGGGAGTCCCCAAGCAGGGGAGGGGGGGGACCAAGGCCCTAAAGTGGTATCGGCTCCATCCCGGAGGTCAGGTCTGGCTAAGCCTGGGCTGGGCTGGCTGGCCTGACCCCGGGGCTTAGGGCACTAAACCAAGGCACAGCGGCCAGTGCCAACCAGAACCTGGCTCCCTGGCACGCAGCACCCACGGCCGTTTATCCTCGCCCTGGATTAGGATTAGCCCCATTCTCGCTGCAGACACCAAGTAGGCCACGGTGATTAGCGGGGCAGACGAGCACGGCCTCTGCTTGCACGCTGCCTGCAGGAA